GCGGCGGCTTAGGATGGAGCCCATGGTGCGGCAGCGAGCCGGGCCAAGGCTAGGAAGGGGGGGGCGGCGGCGTCCTCACCAGGACATGCCCGGACCAGGCAGCGCTGACGCTCGCCCACGGCCGCGGGCGCTCGGCCTCCGAGCCCCCACCCCCGGTTCGGCTCCCGGCCCGACGCCACGGCGGCTCTCCGCCCCCCGAGTCCTAGGCACCTCGGGAAATGGAGTCCCCTCGCCGCCGAGGGTGCCGGACAGAGGCTCATGAATCCCGCCAAGTACTACATTTCCCAGGATGCTGCTCGCCCAGGCTCGCTGAAGTTGTTGACAAACGCTCCGGGACAAACCAACTGGACCTAAATCCAGAGGGGAGGAACCATCAACCGCACCGCAAATTATCCTTCCCTTATGCATTCCAAGCACAAGACTAACATCATAACTCTTCAGCCTTTTCATAATCTGTTCATACATAAACATTCTAGGAATCCAACGCATTCCATTTACTCTCTCTCTGAAATTATTTCCTCGAGCTATCACGGTTCTCGCCACTTCCCAGGGTTTAGTCTCCTAGCCCGGCCAGCAGAGGGCAGACCTTTACCTGCCACCTGGAAAGAGCTGGGGGCGGCGGAGTGGAATCCAGGATTACTCTGATCGGTGCTCTTAGAGGAGAAGCGAAGCATCTTTTCCAGAACTCTAGGCATATCTCCCGTTCCACGTCCAGAAGAATTACTTTAAAGAAATAATTTTACAGCCTCCCCCCCCCGCCCCCAGCCCTGCATAGGCACTAGACCTGTCCCCATTTTACAGATACGGAAACTGAGGCATAAAGACCGAAGGGCCACATGTAAGGGTGCTAAAGGCAAGTTTACAAGAATCAGGATTACAGTTAAAGCCTCCTCGCAGGTTGCAGTGTACTTTACTGGCTTTTGACTCATACAAAAGTCTGTAAGCATGCCAAGTAAGAATGTTTTTTACCTCCTTTTCAGTTGAGAAACGGTCGTAATAAGAAGAAAGTGACTTCCCAAGATAAGCCTGTTCTACTAAGAAAGGAGCTAGGGAGGGCAGAGGCTGGCTAAGAGTCTCAGATGGTAAATTCACCACAGTCCACATTAAAGTGAATCCTACACCTTTCTAGAGGCCAGAATGCAGAATACAAACTTCCTATTTTCAGGGGAAACTGGGAAGGCAAAAGTAATAAAGGAAGTGAGGGACTTATGAGATTATAAGAGAGATCCCAGTTCTTGGGATTCCACAAACAAGATCCCCATTTACTGAGCACCTACTATGTGCCAGGCATTGCTGTTGGGGGGTATGCAAACACTGTCTTTTTAAATTCTCTGTTGTAGGTTCTGTTTGCATTTCTAATTTACAGAAGAGGAAAGAGGCTGGGAGAGAAGTACCTCACTCAGCTTACATAGTAGATAAGTGGTAATAAAGCTGGAATTTGAACCAGGCCACTCCTTTTAATGCCACCCCCACCTCCCACACATCTCCCCCACCCCCAGACAGGAATGCCCCAGTGCCAGGTTTCATGTCTCTTTCTCCCAGATAGGCTTGAAGACACCCCCACCCCATCGCTTCTTCCCTTTAAATTTCTTTCTGTTGAATCACACGACACTGTTGAATTATATATACACTCAAATATACCAACACTGCCTTCAGTTTACTGGTCTCCCTGTTTGGGGGGAAGGAAGGAGAATATTGAGGGCCCTGACATTCCCCCTGAAAAATAACCCTAAGAGCTTGTCTTCCATATGGATTGTGGGCCAGGGCAGTCATTTCCATGAGCTGGATGTTTGACTAGTGAAACATTCCTCTTAATAGAGCTTTGGACTTCAGGTGTATTTTTCTGTGCTTATCCATGCCCCGCTGGGAAACAGGCCCTTTCTGATTTGATACTGGTTCTACTGTCAACACCTTGGCTGATTCATGTATTTATTCAACAAATAGTTACCATGCAGCTACGTGAGAGGCAATGAGCCAGACAAAGAGCCAGGCAATAGAGATTAAATCGAGAAACCACCAGACACAGAACACCTAGTGAGGAAATCGTGAAACTGCCAGACATGGAACATCTAGTGAGGAAACAGACATTAAAAAGGTGAACAAGGGTATAAATACAAAATGTGGTGGCTGCTATGGGGGAATGAAGTGAAATAACATAAGAGACTTACTATTGATAGGCAAGTCAGGGAAGGCTTCTGTGAGGAGGTGACATTTAAGCCAGGACTTAAAATATAAGTAAGAGCCAACCAGGCAAACTATGAGGGGGTAGGTCAGCCCAGGTTCCAGGCAGGGAGAACAGTGTGGGCAAGGGCCCTGGGGTAGCAGGCCCTGAAGAGCTGAGTAAGATCCATGAGCTCAAAGGCCAGCGTGGCTAGAATTGAGTAGGCAGGAGAGTTCAGGAACAGAGGTCAGGAGTGAGGCAGTGGCTAGATCTCAAGGTTCCTCAGCCAGCCAGCAATAGGTCCTTTGAAATGTAAGGAAAGACCCCAGGCACACTTCATGGCTTCCTGGTGTGAGTCTCTCAAGGCTGGACCTCTTCTCCAGCCTTCTGAGGGAGCAGGATCCCTGCCTATTCCTTCTTGTGGTCCCAGAGCCAGACATCCAGTAGATGTCTGATAAACACATCTGTGGAGTGATGGAAGGAATAAAGGTAGGGAGAAGGAGGCCCTGCATTAACTGGCTATGCCAACTTTGGCAAGGCCTTCAACCTCGCTGGACCTCAGGGAAGGTGAGGCACTGCCAGAAATGCCCTTTATTCCCTCCTCCCACTATCCTCTGGCCCCAGCTGTCAGGCCCCATCTGAGCTAAGAAATCCAAAGTCCACTCTCTAGCCAGACTGATCGTGGCAGAAAACAAGGTTGTTTTTTCCTTCCCTACTGCCCCTGGGAAAATAAGCTAGCTGAGGGGGCCACGGCGGCCGGAGGGGGTGACCTTCGCTCCTGCTAGCCCCATCTGCCCCATCCTAGCCAGCCATCTGGCTTGCAAGAGCTCCTTCTGGGCTGGGCAAGTCTGGGCAGGTACCTGAGTGGTGCCCAGATAAGGGTGAGGAAAAGGGTGATGGTACTTCCTGCCTCCCTAAGCAAAAAAAGCTCCCCACCCCACGTGAGCTCTGCCCGGACCCTGCTGGCCCAACGTGTGCCTGCTCTTTGTCGCTGGCTATGAACACTGGCAAGAGCGTAAGGAGAGCTTGATTCCAGCCTATTTCCCTATCTGTAAAATGCGATTTGCGTTGCCTAGAATAGTGCAGATGGAAGCAAAAAGGTGAGTGCTAGAAACGGTGCTCTAAGCGCCAGGCCCATGCTGAGCACTTCACAGGGATTAAACCCCCAGAGCAGTCCTGGGAGAGCTCTGAGCTCTTCTTACCTTTGGTTCTACAAATGAGGAAACTGAAGCTAGGAAGATCTTGTCCCAACACCAGACTACTTAAGTGGAAGAGTCAAGACTGTCACCAAAGTCTTTTTGACTCCAGAACCTACTCACCTTCCACGTCCTGCTGTTCTCCCAGGAGTAATAGTGATAGTCGTAACCACATTCAGAGCTGCCTACCACGTGCTGTGCACTGAGCATTTTGCCCACATTAATTAATGCTTGAGATGCTTTGTGAAGGTGAGGGGCCACTCTTAATAAGAGCAAAAATCTCCTGGTACCATAAGGGTTTGCAAAAAGTAGTGGAGCCTGAATGATCCCCACATAACAGAAAGGGGTTGAATCCTTATTTCCTAAGTGGACGTGACTTGTGCCAGGGTTGAGGCACCCACCTGGAAGAGGACAAGCTCCGAACCCCAGCCTTTAGAGGCAGTTTAGCAGTTCGACAGTTTCAGGGCTCCTTCCCTCTCCCAGCTAACCTGGTGCCCCAGCCTCCCCCACAGCCCCATAACCTTGGGACCTTTCAGTCCCTGTCCACCAGTCCTCCATCATCCTCCTCCCACTAGCCAAAGCCAGAACCCCTAGAAGAGTTGAGGAACCCAGAAATGGCTCCTCGGAGAGCACTGCAGGTTCTCTTCCCACTCCCTTAATGTGGGACAGTTTCCTCCATTCAATCCAATTCTGAGGCGCTGGGCAGGGACAGACTCCCCTGGAACCAGATACACCCAGGACATCTCCTGAACCGTACTGGACCTCTCTGCCACCATCTGGTCTCCACACTGCTCAGCCACAGTAATCCTAATGGTGACAATGGATCAGATGTACTAAAACCCTCAATGGCCTTTAACCCACCACCTCCAGGACCCGTGCCTGCTTCCTGAGGGCACTTTCCACACGTGCAACTGTACATCTGTCCTTGGGATTTTTCGACACGCTCCCCCACCCCACCCCACCCCCAGCTAACCCGTCTAGAATTTGTTCTCTGTATCCCGGGCCAGGTCAGAGCCAGGCACAGGGAAAGGGTCCGAGAAATAGTTGCTCAACTAATGAAACTGGAGACCAGGGAGCGCGAGGAATGGGGATAAGGTCATTAAGAGTAGGGGTGACCGAACGGGACTTCGGCCCGACATCTCTCCCGGCCTCCCTACCTGCCCTCCCGCTCCAAACCCGCCGGGCCCACAAACCCGACCCGCGACGTCAACCGGAAGCGGCGCGTGCGGAGCTGTAAACACAGTCCACAACACCCCACCCTACCCGCCGCGCAATTCAGCCCCGCCCCCGCCCTCCACGTGATGCGCCCCCGCCCGCCTTGACCCAGTACCCGCCCCCGCCGCCGCCTCATTGGACCGCCAGCTTTGTTTACCTTATATGGCCAGGTCCTAACACCTCGCGACCGCCCATAGGCCGAAGCACTGCCTCACTCACTTGACGTCACTCAGGATGGAACGATGCAAATAAACCGGGGCATTCTGGGAATAGGAGTTCAGGGCCGCCCCGGAACTGGCTCCGCGCGGTCCTGGCGCCCGCACGCTGAAAGCTGAGATTTCCGGCAAAGTGCACGAAATTTTGCGTGGGAAAGTCGGAGCATCTCAGAGAGCGCACCCCAAAGCTGTCGAGGCTGTCTATCGCGGGCGCCATCCCTTTCTCAGACTTTCCTCGGGCCTACTGTGTGCCTGGCCTAGTGGGTGATACAAGCTTGCGCTGTGTGTTGGGGAAGACTCGAAGGCTTCCTTGAGGAGGTGACTTTGGGCAGAAAACTAAAGGGCAGATTCATGCATTCACTGAACGAGTATTTGTAGGCATCTACTGTGTGCCAGTCTTTGGAACCTTACGGCCCTAGTGCTGCCGATTTGTACCAAAATCCCTAGCCCCCACCGTTCCCCCAGGATGCATTCACTCCACACAGGAGGGATGTTAACCACAGTGGGGTTCGGGGTCCTGGGGTCTTGGCAAATACGCTCACTGGTGTTTGCACTCATGCACGGTCTGCGGCCCCCGCCTCCTGAACCCCGTCAGTGCCGGTACTGGAGCGCGGATGCCCCCAGAGCAACGTGCACGTCCCGCTTCTGCACACAGTAGGCGCCCAAATTTCAGGCATACCCTGGGCCCGGCCCGCAGCTCCCGTCCAGTGCGGCGGAAGCGGCGCGGGACTACATCTCCCAGCATGCCCCCCGCGGCCCTGAGCGAGGCGAGGCACGGTGAGTCAGAGCCGCACAGTAAATATTTGTATTAGCCGGAGCCGGCTCGCTAATGGTGGACGCGTGAGGCGGAGGAGCGCGCGGCGGCGGGAGGCCGGAGCGGGCAGGCGGCGGTGGCGCCATGTCCGTGAACATGGACGAGCTCAAGCACCAGGTCATGATCAACCAGTTCGTGCTGACGGCGGGCTGCGCGGCCGACCAGGCGAAGCAGCTGCTGCAGGCGGCCCACTGGCAGTTCGAGGTGCGCTGTCGGGCCGGGGCCCGGGTGCGGGTGTCCGTCACGCCTGGAGGCGCCGGTTGCGGGTTGTGTGCGGGCTGGTGTGGACACGTGCCGCTGCGCGCTGCGCTGCGCTGAGGCCAGGCCCGCGCACTCGGCCCGGTGTCCCGGCGGTCGCGCGCCCCGGCGTCCGGGCTCTATCGCGCACACGCGGCGTGCGGGTCAGGCCCGGCTGCGCGGCCGCGTCTACGCGGCCCCCGGAAACGCCGCCGGCTCGGGGTGGGTGGGAGGGGCAG